CTACCAGAACTCTTTCATGTTAATTTCTCTACTATTATTTTCTCCTTTTTCTTGCTTATCTACTACCTGCCTAGAATTCAGCCCAAACAAATCTGATCTGTATGTCAGTGTACACTGGTTCCTAAAGTAACAAAACGACAAAGGCCAAACTATTTCATGGTTATGGTCTTGATTTCCACAATTTTTGTTTGCCCTTCTTCATTCACAAATGACATAATTAAAGATACACTTACCATGCATATAACTCACACACTTAAGTCTTACTGTCTCCCTCCCCACAAGCTTTTCCTTCTACATTTCTTCTTAATTACCCCTGCTCACTTCCATGCCCACTCTTTACACTCCCACCCGAGCCAAGGGCCTCACACATGCAAGGCAAGTGCTGTGCCACTATGCAGAGCTGTGTCTCCAGTTCTAACAGCCCTTTTTAAAATTTTAAAAATTTACCTTTGTGTGTTCATGTGTGTGAGTGTGTGTGGTGTCACAGTGCATGTGTGGAGGTCAGAGGACAACTTTTGGGAGTAGGTTTTCACCTTCCACCTTGAGGAAGGGTTTCTCGTTTCTGCCTTCTCAGTTTTCAGAGGATGCTCCTGTCTGCCTCCCATCTCACAGTAGGCGTGCTGGAATTACAGGTGCGTGTCACGGTACCTAGCTTTTCGTATGAGTTCTCAGACTAAACTCAGGTTGTCATGTTGTACAAAGTAAGCACTTTTACCCACTGACCCATCTTGCCTGTCCTAACCCCTTCTTTAGAGTTCTTGGACAGCCAGATGGTTCAGTGGATAAAAGTTCTTGCTGCTTAAGTGCAAACACTTGAGTGTGATCCTGGGAACCATGTAAAATAGGAAGGAAGACATATTATGCTTACACATTTGAGCAAAAATCACCTACATGGATGTTCACTATAGAACTTGTTTAAGTGTGGTGTGTAGAAATGTCATAACACTATGTAACTATAAAAAAGAATAAGAGAGGTTTATGTGTATTGGTTACTTAAAAAAATAGAAACAGGGTCTTGCTGTATAGCCTAGGTTAGCCTCAAACTCACAATCTTCTTGCCTCAGTTCCTGAGAGTAGGGATTACAGGACTATGCCATCACACTGGCTCACAAGATAATTTGTCAAGTGGTAAAGAAACAGAGCAATGTGCACGATATGTTGACATTATGGTTTTGTTTTTCTAAATCTTTCCTTTCAGAACTATTCAGAATCCAACTTCAGCTCTAGCCAGTGCTGGACAGCAACCTCTTAGAGTCTGATCTGAACGTCAATGCACATTGACTCTTAAAGGGATAAAATGATAAAGGACAAACTATTTCATGGTTACAGTCTGATTTCCACAATTCTTGTTTTGTTTGTCCAGCTGCAGCTAAAGAGGAAGCCCAGAGCTGCTGTTGTTGTAGTTGTTGTGTTTCTTCTTCCTCTTTCTCCTCCCGCTCCTCTTCTCCTTTTCTTTTTTCGGTTGTTGTTGGATTTTTGAGGTAGCAACTCGTATAGTCCAGGCTCCAAATCTGCTATGTAGCTGAGTCACTTTACAGTAATGTGACACTCAACTCTGCATATTCAGTGCTTGGGATCAAACAGGGCTTTAAGCGTAATAGGCAAGAATTCCACCAACTGAGCCAGTATCCTAGCCCTAATATTTTTTTAAGAGAATATACTCTATGCTTATACAGGAATTACAAAGCCTTAAGAATAATGCAGAAAAAACAAACAAATGCCTTTGGGAGAAGAATAGTGGGACCTGGGATCTGTCTTGGAAGACATTCTCTCTTTTTTTTTTTTTTGTCATTTTTGTTGTTTTAAGACAAAATCTTTTATAGCCTACACTGGCCTCAAACTTGTTATGCAGCTGAGGATGACCTTGAATTTCTGATCCTTCTGCCTTCACTTAACACATGCTGAGATCACAGGCATGCACCACTATGCCCAATTTTGAATATGCAATTGTATCTTTTAAATGTAATGCCATATACACATAAATAGAGTTAAATAAATGAAACTTATGCTAATAAAATTCCAGTTGATTTTATAAAACTGTATAGTTATGAATTATAATACCTTAAGTATTTATATTTATCATTTCTTTGTGCTGGGAACCTTTGAATTCTAATCTTTTTATAAGACATACAATAAATTCTTATAAACCTTAATCTATTGTGCTGAAAAACATTAAAACTTACTTTTCTTATCTGGGAACCTATTATTCAGCCTCCTTAAGCCCCCCATCCTCTTGCTTTTCCTAGCAATATTCTATTTTCTACTTATCTGAAATCAGTTTACTTTAGTATTCTACTCCTGAGAATATGCAGCTTTTTTTTTCATACCTGGATTCTTTCATTTAACATAATGATAACAAACTTCTATAAAGGTTGCTGTTAATGATAGGGTGTCATTTTTGGGGGTGCTAAATAATAGTGCGTGGGTATGGTGTAGACTTACTATTATACTTTCTCTATTCAGTGGATACTTCAGGTGATTATATCCCATGTCTGTGTGCTGCAATAAACATGGCAGGGCAGGAATCTTTCTGATACAGTGATGCCATTTCCTTTGGATATGGATAGCCAGTAACGGGACAGCTAGCCAAGTGACAGTTCTAGTGTTACTTTTTGTTCTGTTTTTAGAATATTTATAGTGTTTTCTATAATGGGTAAAAAAAAACCATATTAGGAGATAGATTAATTACTTTGATTTGATCATTACACATTATGTGTGTGTATTAAATTATCACACCTTACTGCATAAATACATACAATTAAAGAGAATGTTAAAACTACAAAAGACCTGCCCCCACCCAGGGACAAGCTGGAAGCTGCTCACTCAGACAGTTATGCATTGATCATGAGGGGTCACGGCTGCTATGACGTCATGCATTAGGTGCGATGGGTGAACGTACAATCTGTGAGGGAGATGAGCGAGCATCCAGATAATCACAATAAAAAGAGTTACTTCTATCCAGTTTCTTTAGCAGCAGCTGAGTACAGACCTAGCACTGCCTTACAGGTTTTAGTAGAAGGGCAGGATAGGGATGTGCGACCAAAGCTTAATGTAGGCAGCATTAAGTGACGGTAGGAACAGTGGGCAGGCTGGCCTCTGGCCAAGCGATGACAATAAAGAGCTGTAAGTCAATAACTGACGGCATTAGAATTATACAAAATCATTTTGAAGAACAGTATATACGATGTAATAAAAATAAGACAAACAAAAAGGCTCCTCAGACTGAGTGATTAAGTGAATATTTTATATAGAAATTACTAGTAAACTAAAAATATTGCTGTAACCTGACTTTCCTTTATAAAATCGCCACACTCTGGAGATATAGGCACAAAGCCTCACCTAACCTAGAAACTATTTGCAACTGAGAGTTACTGAGAGAGGAAAAGTCAGTTTTCCCTGAGTCTATCAACCACACTCCAGGGTATGCTGGCCAACACTATACATACAGCATTTTTCTGTTATTGTTGTTGTTGTGTGTGTATGTTTTAAGACAGAGAAAGAACATGAAGTTGCATGGATAGGGAGTGGGGAGGTTCTGTGGTTGGAGGAGGGGAAGGAATGTGATCAAACTATATCATATGAAAAAAATTTAAATAAAATTTAATTAAAAATATTAAGTTCATATTTTACCAATTACTTAAGATAAAACATTTATGGCAACTGAGGATGAGGCAAAATCAGTGGCTTTTGTAATCATGCTAGAAAATGAAGTGGTAAAGCACTTATTATTGTGTAGTTGGTTTCTCCCAGTACTTTACAGTCTTACATGATTCTTATTGTATGGTAAGATGTAAGGAGGGTAATGGAATGTGTCACCTCTATGATGTCTTTTCATTTGGACGTCTTAAAGCATCTGTGAACATTTACTAATTCTAAATATCATGGCAGATACACCAATGAAGTGAACAGGGCAAGAAACAGTAAAACAGTTAAAAGCCAATTGATAAATCAACAGCAATCTGGAAAAGGACACATATTCCCACTCCTTTTACTTGAACTTGATCCTGAGATCTAGCTGCCTCTGCCTGCAAGGTGCTGAGTTTTACAGGTCTGCACAGTCCTGACCAGCCCTTTTTCTAGTTCTAATCTACAGGATAATCTATCCTTATCCTGTAATTTCTCTTTCTTAAAAAGTCTGTGTTATTTCTGATGTTAAGTAATATGACAAAATAGGGTTTGATAACAATAATATGAGTTTAAACAATGAATAAATAGAATTATCTTGTTTCAATAAAGATTCTAGAATAATTTGTTAGGATGGATTGAGAAAAGGCCTTAGTAAATTCTAGAGGCAAGAGAACCTGTAATTGTACATAGTTTCCTCACAATTCTATTTTCCTACATATATTTTAGTCCTCAATATTCCCTTTTATGTAGCTTCTTAATAAACATAATAGACTACTGAACACCAGTACGATAACCAAACCATAACTAGGAATGCAGTACAGTATCTTAAAAATATTACTTTTATTTGGCAACATAATCTTCTATTTATACAGGGAATTTAATTTATAATAAACACACAAAGCATTATCGTTATGCGTAACAAAAATTACTTTGCAAAAAAGCAGATTTAAGTATTCAGAACCAAAAAATTCAAACTCTCTTTAGAAACCTAACTCCAACATTTCATTAACAAGTTGCAGAGTGTGTTGGTACACACTTTTAATTCCAACACTTGGGAGACAGAAGCAGGTGGATCTCTGTGAGTGAGACCAGCCTAGTCTACAAAGTACATTCCAGGACATCCAGGACTACACAGTAAATTCTTGTTTAAAACAACAACAAAAACCAAGCAGCAACAACAACAAAAACCAAAACAAACAAAAGAAGCTGCTAATTTCTGACATTATTAGTTTTATTTGAAACAAGAATGACTAATTCCAAGCAGGATTTAGTAAGGATTGTGAATAAAATAATTGTAAATGATGCACCGTTAGTAGCCGCTAAACTTCAATTAGTGAAATCAATGTTTTTTTTTTTTTTCTTAAATGGCTTACCTGCGCATTGGCTTTCCTTCCATGCACCATGAAAAGTATCCTTCACCGTATTCTAAAGCCGTACCTTAAGCAAGAGAAAAGCAGTAACTTACTAAAAACTTTCTGATTTCTCCAGCAACTTTCATAATCATTTCACTCATTTCGTCTGTAATCAAGAATCTTGCATCCCGATATAATGTTTGTGCAGACGAACAATCATAACGGAAGGTAGTGCCTTTAAGATGACCATCATTAACTGAGTATGTTAAGTCGATTGATTATATGGAGGGTGAGGGAAAGTGTGAAAGTGGAAATGAAATGATAGCTAGTCGGTTTTGTCTCTGTTAGAAAAGCACCTGGAGAGTCTCAGTCTCTCTCTCTCTCTCTCTCTCTCTCTCTCTCTCTCTCTCTCTCTCTCTCTCTCTCTCTCTCAAACTTTGCCTTCAAGTGTATTTGCAAAGCAAACACTAGATACCCAGAGCAGTACTAATTTAACGAGTCGGATAGGAACACTGGATCTGAAGGTTAACTTGTTCTGAAGTGACAGGGGGGCAGGCCGAGGCATTTGCTTTTAGAAACAATTCCGTTTCCAACCAGCCCCGACAGCTTGAACAAGGGCAGGGAAAGTACAGCGCCAGACTAACGCTCTCCCAAGCAATAGTCTTACTTCCCGAAATACTGTCCACCACCGGGATCTCTCTGGCTTCCAAAGGTAAAATGGGAGGCATTAGTGCTCACTCCCTCAGAATCCCAAGTGAAGCTGTCCAGGATGCGGAGCCCTAGCGTCCCCAGACAGCACAGCACAGGTTTCCCCTGGCGGTAAGACACCGGCAAGTAGCGCAGTCTGGCGCCCCGCAAGGCCCGACCCAGGCGCCTCAATAGTCTCTTTTCGGCACAGACTGACAGGCGACCTACAAAGAGCTGCCCTAACCCCACTGGGCAGTTCGGCAAGTTGAGATCACAGATCTGCGGAGCGCGACCTGCCTGGAGCCCTGTTCTCCATCCCCTGCTCTAAGGCTCTGACTTACTGGCTTTGACACTTTTTTTCTCTGCGGCACCTTTCGCTGCCTCCTCCGCCCTCTCTGTCTCCACCTCTGGCGCCGCTAGCGCAGGGAGGATGCGGCTCCCGCAGCAATTTCCTTTCTCCGCACCCGCCCCTATCCAGAAGCCGGAAGTGGTCCTGTCCCTAAATCCTTCCCGCCAAACTGCCCTTGTTCGGGCAAGTGGTTCCGTTCTGGGTCCGGAAGTAGCTGTGCCGCTCGCTGAGTGTTTTCCAGTACTGGAACCGTTAGCGTGTGTCCGGATAATTTATTGATGTATTTAAAAACATCTTTCTTCTTCACCATCCCCTGACATGTTTCATAGCAAAAGCAATATAAAGATGGAACTAGTTGCCGGAAGCTAGGAATTTTGATTTGCTTGTAGCTGCTGGGTTTCCCCCACCCCCGCCTTTTTTTTTTTTTTTTTTTTTGATACAAATGTCCATGATTGTGGATTGAATTCTTACCACATGCACACAAGGAGTTGACTAGTTTCTATCAGTTCCCTACTATGTGCAAGTCTGAGGACGCTATCACAGGTACCTTACCCTCTAGTTTTTCCTCAGCACAGTTTCAAGATATTGGAGTTTAATCCAAGATTCTGATGAAGTCCTTTCTCCTTAATTTAGATGCTTCTTTTGTGAACTCACTTTAATCCTAAGCGGAAAAATGCTTTTTGTATTTTGTTCCAAAATTTTCCTCGATAATTGGTCGTCTTGTTTTTAAAATATTTTTAGAAAGCAACCAACGAAATAGTTAGAAAGTGAGGGTTAAAATTTTAAGTATATTAGTAAAAGACTGTTGTTGATTTGTTGAAAGCTATACTAGACTTAACTAATTTTTTAAACTGATCTTTACATGAAATCTACAGACGCTGCAGTTGTTTCTGAGAGGAAATATACCTTTTATTAATAAACTTGTAGTTGGAGATGATTGGTCTTCAATATTGAAGAAGGACTTATGACCATCATTCATATTTTGCTGATGGCACCAAAGCATTATATAACTTGCAAAAGGGCAAGGGCACCTGCAAAGCACCTTTTTGAAATACACAGCATGTCAGGGTTACAGCCTGGACTTATGTTGTTTGTTTTGCCAATCTGGTGGCTATCAAATGGATTGGATGTACATTTCTCTGATCAATTGAAACGTCATTTTATATGTGCAGCTGGCAGTAAGGTTTCTTTTGTGAGAATTGCCTAAGAGGCATCTTCAAAGTGACCCTTAGAGTCACCCAAAATATAAATTATAATTTTATAGCTATAAATTTCAATAACAAGGTATAAAAATCACTAAGCAATGCTAGTAACTAAAGATGGAATTTTAGTCTATGGCCAGGGAAAAAGTAATAGTTTCTATTCTTGACAATCTATGATTCATTCTTCAACCCACTGTAATCTGGCTAATGCTTCTACTTCTCTCTTCAAAGGGGAGCAGTTCAGTGTGAATCAGAGCTTCCTGTTTATGTCAAGACCTATCAAACTATACATAGAAATAAGCATAATCAAAACCTGGCATTTCCAATTGTTACAGAACTCCTACAATCCCACTAAGTCTTCATCTTTGGGGATCGTGAATTTCTAGTTGAAAATATACTTAAAAATTGGTTTTACAATATGTGAGACAGTGGTAACAATACTTTAGAGACCAATGAGCTTAACTTTTAGACTTTCAATTAGAAATAACATCTTGTTTGTCTGTCAGGTATGAACTACATAGATCCCAAGATTTAGGTGTAAACAAGACCCATGGGATTCTTGTTTTGTCAAGTACTCATTCTTGAGGAAATAGACACTGTAAAGATAAATAAAAAAGAAAGGTGAAGTGGGTACTTCTTGGCAGGCCCTGCCAAGGTATGCTACTAAGCAAACATGGCATGTGCAACAAAGTTAATGCAAGACGTTTATTGGGGGAGGGAGAGAGTGAAAGGCCATGTTGAAGTGGTGATGTGAAAGAGGAGGCAGGCAAGCAGTCAGACAGACAAACAGGCAGAGAGACAGAGAATAGGGAAGGGGAGCAAGAGACATGAAAGGCAAGAGAGGAAAGAAGAGGCAAGAGAGAAAAAGAGGAGGCAAAGAGAGGAAAGAGGAGGGAAAGAGATGAGAAAGAGGCAACGCCCTTTGTGTTGCCTATTCGCCGTTGGTCACTAATGAACGTGGTGTCAAAAAGGCACAAATTAATGCTTTGTAGCCTTTTCTTACCCTGGAGTTTGGTATCTTGGGTGTAGGAGCTGCATAAGTAACAGAAAATCTACCCTAGCTTGTGTATATGGGTGAATGTACTGCCCAACCCTGGAAATGTGGTTTCTTTTAACTGGTTCTTACTCATTTGGCAGGTGCTGACCAGCACCTCCAGAATGACACGTGGGAGCTAACAGGTGGCTTAGGGGTGTCCTTAATGATTTGGGAATTTGGTCTTTAGAAACATGGATGACTTAAATTTTCTAAGAGGTGTGTCAGGACACTGCATAGATGAATGTACATTTTGTAACAAGGCTATGAATAAATATTTAATAAGCTGCTTTGGAAAAAAGAGACAAGAGAAACAAGAGACAATAGAGGAAAGAAGAGGCAAAGAGAGAGCTGTACCTGGTGGCACTTTTAAGGGTTGTATATGTCACACAGCTGACGATGGAAAGGCACCTGGCAACAGGTGATGATGACGTAACTACAGCAGCAGAGGCAGGCTGCTGCTGTGGCGGGAACAGATAGACATTATAAAATTAAACCACAAATTACATGATTGTTTAGTTACAATAGTGGTATAACTGAAAATGACATACAGGATGCTAACAAAATAACTAATAGGGAACCCAAATCTGGTCTCAGTGATAGGGGAAGTATGGTTAGCAGCACTTAAGATACCTTCAACATTGTTTGACCCTGTAATTGATACCTTAGTCATATCCTTTTCTGCTATTGTGATGTATTAAAATATATTAAGAGGGTGGGCTCTGTTTTTCCAGCATGAGATGCAATGTTGTTTGGTCACTCCAACCAAAGATGAATGAGCTCAGCAAACTTTTCTTTTCTTTATAAAGTCCTTGGGCATAGATATTTTGTCATAACAACACAGAGAGCCCTATGATGGGGAAACAGAAGACCTGGGTCCTGGTGCTGATCTCATGATCTCAAGCAAACCCTTTATCATAACCTCAGTTTTCTTACCTATATGATGTTTCATGTTCTGAATGAAACATGTTCATGTTACAATGTTCTGAGTAGAGGGTTGTTTTTAGAGGTTGTGGATATAACTCAGTTTTTAAAGTGCTCACCTTGTATGCATGGAGTCTTGGGTTCAGCCCCCAGCAAAGTCCTATTGGAAGTTCTGAGGTTGTGCTGTGTAACAAAACTTTTCCTGGGGTGATGCAACACAGATGTCTACTCACCCTAGATAGGGAGCCCATTACAGACAATAGTACGGGTATCACCAAAGTCCAACTTGGTGAACCAATGAGTTTTATTGAAACTACTTACAGCATATGAGCAGGGGGTTACTTACAGGAGCAGAAATGACTCAAAGACAGCTGCATCACCAAGATCTACTCCAGCATGGGTGACAGCTCACAGGGCTGGGAACCTGGAGTACACTGCAGAGCCTGTGGGCAGCTCAACAGGATAGAGGGTTGGTGTAGGAGGTTCTTCTGTATTTGTGTCGCTTTCATCAGTTAATAAAGAAACTGCTTTGGGCCTGGTGATAGGGCAGAACTTAGGTAGGCAGGGAGACAGAACTGAATTCTGGGAGGAAGAAGGCAGAGTCAGAGAGAGCCAACATGGAGCCGCCAGGTCAGACTTGCTGAATCTTTCCTGGTAAGCCACGACCTCTTAGTGAACATAGATTAATAGAAATGGGTTAGATCAATATGTGAGAGTTAGCCAATAGGAGCTAGAGCTAATGGCCAAGCAATGTTTTAATTAATACAGTTTCTGTGTCATTATTTCAGGGGTAAGCTAGCTGGGTGGCCAGGACCAAAAGCAGGCCCTGTCTCGTTCAACAGAGGGTGTCCTTTCCAGGAGCCTCAGTTGGTCTAAATCTCTTCAAGGCATCTATCTGGTTCAAAACACTTCTTTTTTTGTAGCTTTTCTCTTCTGAGAGTCTTCTTTGTAACTTAGCTTGTCTAAATCTTCTTGGCATCTGGGCTCATGCAAGAGTCTTCTTTGCAGCTCAGTTTTCTTTTTTTTCCCCCTTCCTGAGGCAGGGAGGGGACTAGTGAATCTGGTAAGTTTCAGGGATGTCCTGAAGCTATTTTTGGGTTGTTTACTTTCCTGCTTGAGGAGCTTCCCTGTTGGATGGAATGTTTCAATCACTCATAAAACTGTTGCCCAACAGGTTACAATGAAACTTTAGTGGCCTCAAATTGGCATGACCAGGCTGGGTCATTATACCCAACAAAAGTCAGATGTATTTAGAATATACAAGTAGGGTAAGAAAATACAGATGCATTTCTTGAGTGGAAAAATATCTCTTTGACTGAAGGGACCAGTATCAGCTCAGGACATCCCAAGACAAAGTTCTCAGCACAAAGGAAATTTATTTGCCCTAGAGAGTCAAAAGGCCGGGAATAAGACAATAAGAGTTAGAAGATGAGGGAAGAGGGAACGGGAACAAGGAAGAGGGAGATAAAAGGATGGCTTCTGAATAAAGAGACAGACATGGCCTATAGAAGCATGGTTTATAAAGGTTAAAAAAAATAGGGAAACCCCTATATTAGAATGAGGTGTTTAATTTTAATTAAGTGTGTTAATTATGTGAGCCAAAGAGGGATTTTGATGGCTGGACTTCAATACTTTGACAGTTAGACCTTAGTAGTCAGCCCCAGGAGGAGGAAATGGTCAAATAAGGATATAAACCTTGATGGCTGGTTTTAGAAATGCAAATGGTTTAGCAAGACAGAGGGAATGGGGGAGAAGGGTGAGGCTGTCAGAGCCACGTTTGCCATGCTAGAGCTGGCCAGAGTCCCTTCATTGACCACAGCTGGATGTTTTTTTAAGGATTAGATAGCAGGGAGATGGGTCAGTGGGTAAAGTGCCCATGGTACAAGCATGGAGATCTAAGTTACTTGAATGGATACTTATTCTAGGTATGAATTTACCTTTCCTGGATGCAATGCTGC